AGCAAACCGAGACACATAAATAGCAAGCAGGACAGAACACTGACGCTTCACCGGAGGCGCACTGATGATGTTACCTAGTATGGTGATGAAACATCTGCAAACAAATTTACCAGCTCAGTGAGCTGGTCAACAACTGCATCCAGGCATTGAACGGTGTGGTTAGCTGTAACCAATGGTTGCAAATGGCTTTGTTATCTCAACTTGTTTAACATACTCTGGACATTCCAGAAAGGAGTGCTCATTGTCTTCCTTCCATTAGAAGTCCATGACCTTGTACAGATATTGTTGTCGACCTGTGGATATCTATCTTACATTGACAGAGGCTTACTTTATTATTATTTAATCTGCTATACCAGTACTTTCAAAATCTACTCGCACATAGCTTTTTTGACCATTCATGTGGGCATCACTGGCCAATTGGCATTAACTGCCTGCCTCTAACTGTGCCTATATTTGTGGTGATGGGAATGAAAGTGATGGGGAGATCTTCGTGGGGTATGTACATCTACTATTAGGGAGTGCTGTTGGAAGGGAGATCCCGGATTTTCGCTAAATGATGATGAGAAGGTGACGATATGTTTCCAATCGGGATCTCGAGTGACTTGGAGGGGAATTTGCAGGAACTGGTGGTTCCATGTTCCAGTTGCCCTTTTCTTTCAAGACAGGAGGCTAAGGGATACAGATGAATTTAGCAAGACAAGCTGTACCAGGTAATGATGGCAAAATGTTTGGTTCCTGTCTGGCAATCCCTTTATCACTTTTGTCCCCACATTCATTAAGAAAAAGGGGTTGAAATGTTTTTCTCACATCTGTGTTGGTACACATGGATGATTACCTATAAAACTAGTGCTGGTTCTTGACTTCAGCTATTCATTAACAAGTCATCATTTTCATCTATTAGTGTAGTGTTGAGCAATCTTCTGTTCATACCACTCAAAAACACTGCGATCATCTGAACTTTTGGTAGTGCATTAGCTTATATATAATAACTGTTTATATATAATAATAAACTCCAAATTAAGACAGTGCTTGCTTGGGTTCTGGACACTGCAGTCTAGCACCTCTTCCAAATATAAGTACAGCCTTTCACAGATATCCAACTTCAGCAAATTGGTACAGCCCTGCAATTCTCTGAGCTCTAATTCTGCTCAGCTGCATAAAGCCAATACTGCTTGTGGGTTTTCTTCATACTTACTCTTACCTGCCTTGAACCATTAATAGTCCATGATTTGTTCTCAGTCCCCACTGCTCCTAAGGCTTTACCTGATCCCTAATCCCAACACTTCAGAGAATTTTACTGAGCCAGGAGGTGAAGCTAATTCCTAACAGTTCAGAGCCTGTCATGGCACTACTTTTTGAGGATGGACTCTCTTCTTCCTGCTCCAAAGTATCTGACTGACTAGCACCTTCAAGGGAACAACCTTCTCTGATTGCCTCCATCCAATCAGCCCACAATTAATTGATCATTAAACATTGAACTGCTCTATGTGACCTGCTAAAAAGTTCACAACAAGTGATATCCTTTGTCCTAGATAGTACCGAATGTGACTAATATTTTTAAACCGTCAAGTATAGCGACCACTGGTACTCTGTTCTCTGAATGATACCATTTTTACAGCTTGCTGGCTTGCATAGTACGTAAGGAAAATAAAAAGATTGCTTTGTATTGTTCAAATTGATAGATTCTTGGAGGCTAGTTGCATCAAGTGATGTGGAAATAATGTGGGGAAAGGGCATTGAGGTTGATGATCAGCCATGATCCATTCATGAAGTGGAGCAGGCTCAATGGGTTGAATGGCCTACTGCTGCTTTTATGTTCCTAACTTGTATTGATATAGCAGTATTAATTAGTAAAACATCTCAAGGTTACTCATAGGAGTAAAAATTTTGACACAGCATAAAAGGAGATGATAATGCAGGTGACCGATAGCTTAGCCAAAGAGGTAACATCGAAGGAACATCTTAAAAGATGAAAGAGAGGTGAAGCAGTTGTGAGATTTAGGAAGGAAATTCCAGAATCTCAATTCAGTCACCATAGAGATCAAATTGAGGATGTACGGTGGAGCCAGAATTGGAGGAATGCAGGTATATTTGAGGTTTCTAGGGCTGAATATTGAAGAACCAGGAGCAACCATTGTCTTTACACTGATTAGGAATGCTCTCGACCACTCTTCCAATTCAAAACCTTCAAAGAACTGAATGTTCCAGGAGTCGAAAAGTGTGGAGCGTGGCAGCAAATGTGAGGCTTTGTTTTATTTGGTATATTGTGGAATCCTAATTTACCTGTCTATGTTAGAATCCTAATTTACCTGTCTATGTTGGATGCATATAAAGGACATTAGAGGCATTCTCACATTTTAGTAGCATGCATTTTATATGTAGGAGAGAGTTTCACTTTCTTTAAATGTGTTTTTTATTTTTTGTGTATACAGATAGTCTTCATTTCTCTGATTATAAGGTGGGGTCCTGGAATATTTTGAAGGTGGAGGTTGATAGATTCTTGTTAGTCAAGGGAATCATAGGTTTTGGGGTAGATGGAAATGTAGAATATGAAACACAAGCAGGTCAGCTACAATGTCAACAGGTTCAAGGAGCAGAATGATCTACTGTTCGTAATTTGTTTAATCATAAGATTATTGTTGTGGGACCTCTTACATCCATTTAAATGGGTAGGTCTGATACGTAGGTGTCACCTCCCACCTTGCAGCACTGCTTTAATACAACAGTTTGCTTGTATTGCATGCTCAAATTTCTGACGTGGCACTCAAACTCAAAACCTGAGAGTCAAAGGACTGTATTTTCCTAGGTGGATCCCAATTGCTATTTGGGAACATGGAAGTGACCATGGGCATCAGGCGTGGTCTTCTCAGGTAGTCAGTTTGGATACCACCTCAGGAATCTTGCCCAGTTAGGGACGATGGCCAGTTTCTGTTTGGTGTGGGCGCTGCCAAGGGGCCATTAGCAATATCACAGAGACACCTTTAAGTGGGAGAGCAGCAGCCCTACTGCCAGGGCAACAGACCTCCACTTGCAGAGGCAGTGGTGTAGTGGTAATATCACTGGATTTGTAATCTGGAACCCCAGGTGAATGTTCTGGGGACATGGGTTCAAAACCTACCATGGCAGATGGTGATATTTGAATTAAATAAACTGTCAATTGCCATAAAAACCCATCCAGTTCACATAATGCCCTTTAATGAAAGAAACGTGCTAGCCTTATTTGGGGTGGCCTACGTGTGACTCCTGATCCACAGCGAAATGCTGACTTTCAACTGCCCTCTCTGCACTTAGGGGAGGGCAGTAAATGCTGGCTGAACCACCTAAATAAATAATAAAAAAGATCAGTTTCCGGGAAGTGGTTGCAGTTCTGCTTCAGGAGACTGCACGTTCTGGTTGGATACAGCAACTTTGTAAAAGACTTCATATGGCACCAAGTGTGAAGCTACTTTCTTTCTATGTTCAAGCTCCTGACACAACAGGTGTGCCTTTGGTTAAATTACCAGTTATTTCTACAAGAGGGTCAAGTTGCCACATACCATGCTATTACTCATTATGTACCATAGCCAGGCATTCAGTTGTCACTGATTTTGATAAAAAAAATCTGAAATGAAAAGCTAGCCCAGTGGCAACCATATAGCCATTGTCAATTGTGGTAAAAACCCATCTGGTTCACTAATGTCCTGTAAGGAATGAAACTGCCATCCTTACCTGGCAGTGAACTTAAATGAAGTAAGATGCACCTTTGCTCCATATCCTTGATATCTCATGACTGACTTCACAGCAGGTCACAGCTACCAGAGAAATCATCGCCTTCCTGTTCCCCTTTCCCTCCCTTCTTATTTTCTGATGCCGAAAGGCATATGTTGAGGTCAGTGTTTAATTTCAGGCTCATATCAAGAGTGAAGAGTGCCAGTTCTGCACAGAGAATATGCATGAAACCTGATCATGACATTGCCAAAAGTTAGGAGTCTATGCAATCAGAGTTCCAATTTATAATTGTGCTTCTGCTGATGTACTGCTTTCTATTGGTGGAGGTGATAGAGCCAGAAGTGTGAACCTACTTGGGAATGAGATTTGGCTGTCATTTTAAGCAAGCTTTATTTGTAGCAGACTTTCTCCAACAGGCGAGATTTTAACTATTCAAAAGCAACCCTCCAGGGGAGATGGTGTTGTAGCAGTAATGCCGTAGACTAGTAATCTACAGGTCCAAGCTAATAGGGACGTGGGTTCAAATCACACCATGCTAATGGACTTTGAATTTAATTAGTAAAGCTCATTTCAGCAATACTAGTGTAAATCATTGATTAACATTAAAATCCCTCTGGTTCACTAATGTCCTTAAGGGAAGAAAGCTGCTGTCCTTAACTGGTCTGGCCTACATGTGACTCCAGACCTACAGCAAAGCACTTGATTATTAACTACCTTCTAAAATGGCCCTAACAAGCCGTTCACTGCAAGAGTAATTAAGGACGGGCAACAAATGCTGACCTTGCTTGTGACACGCACATCCTGTGAGAAGTTAAAGAAACAAGGTCATATTAAAATGGGGCCTGTCTTGATTTTCAACTGGGGTTGTCGGCACTGCAGGATTGACTTGGAGTCTTGTAGGAAAAAAGTACAAGGCCTTAAAAAGTCTTTATTTTGTTCAATTTTTTAAAGATGTTTATTTATTGGTTAGAAAAGCTTTATAGAAAAGGATGATTGACGAGGAGGAAATGATTGAATGTGACAGGTCATATGATGAAAGCTCAGGGATCTGTTAAACCAGAACTCTGCCACCTTCTGAAGGCATTGAATCCATGCTGGATGACAATTCCCCTCAGATCCTCCAGTTCCTCAGGTGCTGTCATTTATGCCATGGCCTCTTCAGAGAAACATTACTGGAATGGCAATCAAACAAGAGAAGGATGGAGTTTGACCCTTGCTCGGAAATACTAACTGAATATAACAAAATAAAATCTCATGTCACAATCCACACTTCATTTTTTTTTAAATTTCAGATTTCTCAAAACCTAGGGAAGATGTACAGTGAAATGATCTTTGTAAATGGCTTCGTGCATTGTGACCCACATCCTGGCAATGTGCTGGTCAGAAAGTCCACTCGAACCAACAAAACTGAAATCATTCTGCTTGACCATGGATTGTATCAGGTAGGCTTCAGCTCTGTTGGATGTTTGTCCGTGTTGCCAGGCGAGAGATGGCTCATGTTAGTAGGCTGTGGGCTCAAGTCCAACTTGAAAATCTGAGTGCGTCATTTGGGAGATTGGACATGCTGAATTTCAGTTGGCCCATCATTGGTAACCGTGCCTCTTGTTGCTTGGGTCCTAACTTCTGGAGTTCCCTCCCTGAACTTTCTGTTTCTTTTTACCTCATTTTACTCCTATAAGACTATCCTTAACATATAATCAAAACAGAAATTGCTGGATAAACTCAGCAGGTCTGGCAGCATCTGTGGAGAGAAAGCAGAGTTAGCATTTTAGGTTCAGTGACCCCTTCTTCAGAACTCCTTTGATAAGCCTTTTCTCAATTCTACTTATATAGGTCAGTGTTCAGAACAATATAGATATGGGTGACCATCATGCTCCTTGTGAAGACAATTTCCCATCTTTACACTGACCATACTCTGTCATATTGTGCCGCACTACCTCTGTCCTGAATGGGATTGCTTCCAACTAGACCTAGCAGCACAAAGTGGGGTGTCATTGAAGCTCTGTGGGCTAATGACAGTTTCTGAATTGTATTCAACCACAATCTGTAATCTCTGGTTTAACATAGACCCCACTCTACCATTTACCATCAAGCTAAAGGATGAACCATGATTTAGTGGAGTGCAGGAGGGCATGCCAGGAGCAGCACCAGGCATAGCTAAAGATGGAATGCAGGTAAAGTTACAACAAAGTCTACTCGGGTGCCAAACAATTTAAAACAACATGCACTAGACAGGACTAAGTGATCTAATTTGTAGCCATATTTAACTAGAAATACCAAGTGGATGACCTATCTCAGCCTCCTTCTGAGGTTCCCAGCATCACAAATGCCAGACTTCAGCTGGTTTGATTCACTCCATGCAATGTCAAGGGAATTCGGAACCAGCAGTAGAAGCTTAAGGGTAAGGGCTAAGTCCATTCAGGATTGAGATGAGGAGAAATTTCTTCACCCAAAGACTAACATGGGAAGTGGTTGAGACTAAAGCATTGAATGCTTTCTAGATAGAATTAGGAATATTTATTAGGACTAAAGGGATCAAAGGGTATGAGGAGATAGCATGAATAGGGGACTGATCTGGATGCTCAATTGCGATAACATACTCCTGCTCCTGTTTTCTATGTTTCTACTTTTCTGTACTGCTGAAGGCACTGAACACCGAAAAGGCTACGGACTCTGATAACATTATGATAATAGTACTGAAGACCTGTGCTCCAGAACTTGCTGCTCCCCTAGCCAAGCTCTTCCAGTACAGCTACAATGCTCATGTCTATCCAACAATGTGGGGAATTGCCAAGTATGTCTGGTCCAAAGAAAGCAGGACAAATCCAACCCAGCCAGTTATTGCCAGAGATAACAAGGTGTAGAGCTAGATGAACACAGCAGGCCAAGCAGCATCATAGGAGCAGGAAGGCTGACGTTTTGGGCCTTGACCCTTCATCAGAAATTGCCACATTAGTTTCCTCTTAATCACCAGCAAAATGATGGAGATTTTTATCAACTGTGCTATCAAGCTGACTTACAATACACAGTTTGGGTTCCATCAGGGCCACATAGCTCCTAATTTCATTACAACTTTGGTTCAAAAATTGACAAAGGAGCTAAACTCCAGAGGTGAGGTGAGAGTGGCTGCCCTTAACATCATGGCAGCATTTGGCTCAATGTGGCACCAAGGAGCTCTAGAAAAACTATAATCAATGGGAATTGGGAGGGAAAGCTGTCTGCTGAAAACTCTGGGGAAAAAAAAAAACTTAGCACAATGGAAAATGGTTGTAGTTGTGGTTGGCCAATCATCTCACTCCCAGGTCATCACAGTAGCAGTTCCTCAGGGCAGTGTCCTAGATTCAACCATCTTCAGCTCCTTCATCAGTGATCTTCCCTCCATCATAAGGTCAGAAGTGATGATATTTGCTGATGGTAACACACTGGTTAGTGCTATTCACAACTCTTCTGAAGCAGTCCATGCTCAAATCCAGGCTTGGGCAGATAAGTAGCAAGTGCCAGGCAATGACCATCTCCAACAAGCCAGAATGTAATCATCATCCTTTGATGTTCAATGACAGTTCACTTGATCAGCATGCCGAACACAGACTTAATCATTTGCTACCTCCACCACTTGTACACAGTTTGAAAAGTGTATTATCAACAGGAGCACTGTTGCACTGGGGCCAAACCTGTGATCTCTACTGCTCATCAGCACAAAAGCAGCAGCCATATAGGAATGCCACAGCCTGTTGGCTCCCCTCTAAGACTTGTACCATCTTTACTTAGAACTATATTGTTTCTTTAGCACAGCGCTCCATCAAAACTCTGGAACCTGCTCCTGAATAGCATTGTGTGAGTACCTGTGCCTCATGGACAATAGTGAGTACGAAGGTGGCTCACTGTCGCCTTCTCAAGGGCAATTAGGAATATCCAACAAGTGATGCCCACATCCCATGAAAGAGTTAAAAAAAATACACACTGTCATAAGCATTAAGCAAGCAAGAAAGAAAGATTTGCATTTTGTTATAATCCCAGCAGATGTTGTGGCTGGATAAATGAGATCCCAAACCGAAATCTGACTTGATAGGTCATGCTCTGTTTTGTTTTGTTTTAACAAGGTAATTTTTCACTGAAACAAACAATGCGGCAGATTCCACTTTAGCCATAAAACAGAGGTTTATTACACAAAAGAAATAAAGGAAAATAGAATAAATCAAACTATTCACACATAACACAAGTTTAAAGATTTTGTATTTTTACTGAGTTTCAATCTCGTTAACCTCAATGGCATTCCTTCACAGCATTCAAACATCAGAGAGATTTCTTCCTCTATCACATCTATAAGCTTGACCTAATTGTGGCTTCAATTCCCATTCTTGAGAATCTAAAAAGCCTTTTCCTCAGAGTCTTCATTCTTGAGCTTAGACTTTCTCAGCTTCAAATAAATCTTCAGGGTATTAATCAAACACTTTTTGCATTCACTTATGGGATTGGGCATCCCTGGCTGGCTAGCATTTATTGCCAGTCCGTAGCTGCCCTTGAGAACGTATTGCTGAGCTGCCTTCTTAAACTGCTGCAGTCCACATGCTATAGGTTGACCCACAGTGCCTTTAGGGAGGGAATTATAGGATTTTGACCCAGTGACAAGGAAGGAATGGCAATATGTTTCCAAGTCAAGATGGTGAGTGGCTTAGAGGGGAACTTGCAGGAGGTGCTGGTGTTCCCAAGTATCTGCTGCCCTTTTCCTTTGAGAAGAAAGTAGTCATGGGTTTGGAAGGTTCTGTCTAAGCATCTCTGGTGAATTTCTGACGTGCATCTTGTAGATAGTACACACTGCTGCTACTGAGCATCAGTGATGGAGGGAGTGGATGTTTGTGGATGTGGTGTCAATCAAGTGGGCTGTCTTGTCCTGGATGGTGTTAACCTTCTTGAGTGTTGTTGGAGCTGCACTCATTCAGGCAAGTAGGGAGTATTCCATTGCATTCCTGACTTGTGCCTTGTAGATGGTGAACAGGTTTCAGGCAGTCAGGAGATGAGTTCCTCACCGCAGTATTCCTAGCCTCTGACCTGCGCTTGTAGTTACTGTGTTTATGTAATGCGTCCACTTTTTAGTTAGATTGACCCTGACTCTGACTCTGACTTTGACTTTGACTGGAGGTGGGTATTGCCTGGCATTTGTGTGGTATGAATATAGAATATAGAACAGTACAGCACAGTACAGGCCCAACATGTTATGCCGACCTACCCTGCATACCCTACATTTTACTATCCTCCATGTGCCTATCTAAGAGTCGCTTAAAAGTCTCTAAAATATCTGACTCCACTACCACTGCCGACAGCACATTCCACATGCTCACCACTTTCTGTGTAAAGAACCTACCCCTGACATATCCCCTATACCTTCCTCCAATCACCTTAACATTATATCCCCCCATAATAGTCATTTCCACCCAGGGAAAAAGTGTCTGACTATCCACTCTATGCCTCTCATCATCTTGTACACTTCTATCAAGTCACCTCTCATCCGTCTTCGCTCCAATGAGAAAAGCCCTAGCTCCCTCAACCTTTCCTCGTAAGACCTGCCCTCCAGTCCAGGCAGCATCCTGGTAAATCTCCTCTGCACCCTCTCTAAAGCTTCCACATCTTTCCTATAATGAGACGACCAGAACTGAACACAATATTCCAAGTGTGGTCTAACCAGAGTTTTATAGACCTGCAGCATAACCTCACAGCTCTTAAACTCAATTCCCCTGCCAATGAAACCCAACACACCATACGCCTTCTTTACAGCCCTATTAACTTGGGTAGCAACTTTGAGGGATCTATGGACGTGGACCCCACACTGTTCCTCCACACTGCCAAGAATCCTGCCATTAACCCTGCATTCAAATTCAACCTTCCAAAATGAATCACTTCACACTTTTCCGGGTTGAATTCCATCTGCCACTTCTTAGCCCAGCTTTGAATCTTGTCAATGTCCCGTTGCAACCTACAACAGCCCTCCACGCTGTCCACAACCCTACCAATCTTCATGTCATCAGCAAACTTACTAAACCACCCCCTTCCACTTCTTCATCCAAATAATTTATAAAGATCACGAAGAGTAGAGGTCCCAGAACAGATCCCTGCGGCACACCACTGGTCACCGAGCTCCAGGCTGAATACTTTCCAGCTACTACCACCCTCTGTCTTGTATTGGACAGCCAATTCTGTATCCAGACAGCCAAATTTCCCTGAGTTCAATGCCTCTTTAGTTTCTGAATGAGCCTACCATGTGTAACCTTATCAAATGCCTTGCTCAAATCCATATACACCACATCCACTGCTCTGCCTTCATCAATGTGTTTTGTCACATCCTCAAAGAATTCAGTAAGGCTTGTGAGGCATGACCTGCCCCTCACAAAGCCATGCTGACTATTTCTAATCAAAAATGTTACTTGCCATTTGTCAGCGCAGCTTG